TCCCTCGCTCCGCTCAGAATCTAATATAATGATAGTTGATAATATCAAATAATCAATTCAAGACATTTTTATTGTACTTTTTATTTAAACTATAAAACAATGTTATGGATCAGTTTAAATTATTTATTTTATTTTATCACTGTGTTGTTATCATTGTGTATCTTACCTTTAAATTTTTTCTGACTCTGGGAATGGGTAAAGTTGACGGAGTGATCGTTTACAAAAATACAGTACAAATCAATTGTAAAACGAATTGCCAGTTATATGTTATCCCTCTCAGTTATAAATAATAATATTGTTTATGGCTGGTGGAATCAATAATCACGATAAAGAAAGAAAGCAAAAAAAATTAAATTAAAATAATAACTACCTTGTCAATATTGAAAACACAAACACATATCAAAAGTAGACAAAACATGTATTACTAATATGTAAGAAAATAAAGAACCTTGGGGGGGATCTTTCCCCCATATTTCCCCCGTGAGAACACCCATGGGTGTGATTGTGTATGTTATTTGATAGTCCCATAAAATAGCTTCAAAATAAAAAACAAACTATGGTAAAAAGTTAAATAGTTTTGAAGGTATCATCAGATGTGTGGAAGGTTCGGTTTTTTGAAAAAAAAAATTAATTGCCAATAATTAGACTTCGCGGGACACTTTAAATAAATTATAATGTAGATACAGGTAAAATTATAAATCCATATATCTATAACACATCACTTACATTACTTCCATTTCTGGATAATTATTAATTTCTTAAACCAGAAAAAAATATAATAAATATTTTAAATTAGAATCAAGCTGGACATATAAATTTTAAATTATGCATATTTTAGACCCGTTTGACTCTCACGGTCACTGATAGTAAAACTGACTAGTGATAACAGATCATATTAAAATAGGTAACATATTACGTAATTTGATTAATTACAATAATAAAATGAAAGTTACTATGAAATTAGTACTAATGACCATCTAATTCCAACGAACATTTTGTTGACTATAGTGATCCAGAATAAAAAAGAAACTTGCAGTTGGTTGTCAACGTATTATTGTACTAGTAGGCTAATATAGTAGTATACTATATTTTATGGTTTTTTTTATATACAACGTTCATACGATTAAAACTTAAAAGGATAAGAAGCACGAATGCGCGTACCGAACAGTGTGTTCGTAAGTAATGTAATATTTTAGAGCGTGTTGATTTTACAATTAAAATAGTTTTTATGGTCAAATTGTGACCACTATACTAACTATAGTTTAGATTATTATATACCTATATATTGCCTATTGTAGTACAGTTAATGGGTGCCCATGATACCCATACTAATTGTTCAATTTTTTAAGATATTATAATAATATAATATTTTTATATTATCTAAAATAGCTAAACGGCAATATTCCTTTGAAATGCCAGATATGCTTACGATATATTTTTTTCTAAGAAATGCAAAAATTATTTTAATATTTTGTAAAAAAATTAAAAATGAATAGTTATCATCATCTAAATATTTTAATTATTCTCAATTGATAATTATATATAATTTCAAATATTATATTTATATTGAATTTAATGTTTTTATACTTACCTACATCTAATACATACAATAACAATTATTAACCACAACGTATTGTGCTTTGTATGTTCTGTCGTCATTTTTGTTTGTATAATATACCTAATAAGGATCATTTTACATTGACCGATTTATATAGGTAGGTATAATAAGATGAACCCGGAAGGGTATACAAATAAGTAATAACTCGCTTATTTTACCTATATTATATTAATGTTAATGTTTACACATTTTTGTTAATACCTCCAAATACGCAGAAATAATTTTCAAATTTTGAAAGTAGACTGAGGTGCAAAAAATTAATTGTCATACTATTATTTTATTTGAAAAAATATTTAAAAACAATTTTATATTGTGTTATAACTTATAGGTATTCTCGAATAGGTATCCTCTAACATATGGAATATTTTCTAACCACAAAAATATGCTTGTTTGCAAAATAAATTAGTTTCTTTGATTAATTTTATGTTTTATGAACCGTGAAGAATGAAGATATCTCATTCAATTTAACTGTATAAACTATAAACAAATAGGTATTACAACTATTAGGTACCTAATATGTAAAATACTGGTATAATCATAATTTTCCGACCTCCTGCAACCAATAGTCACGACCAAACCAAACTATGAACCTAAGTGAATGTGAAATGAGTATCGAGACCAATAGTTTAATGGTCTAACGTATATAGAGTATGAATACATAATAATATATAGATATTATTTACCATTAAGTATACAAGGATTGACTAGTTTTATTAGGTATGAAAAATATTGATAGGTATTGATGGCGCATCTTTCATATTTTATTGTATTTTATGTTTTAAACATTTTTTGTACCTATCTAATAGTAAATATAAATATCGTATCATTTTATGTATTAAGCAGTAAAAATACCATAACGAGTGGGAAAATAGCTACCGATTTGCTGTACAGTACCTATAGAGGTGTCTAGAAGGGTTCACTGTAATGGATGCCAGTGGCGTATCTACGGGGGGGGATATGGGGGTCATATCCCCCCCTCGGGAAGGTTATTTTAATTTTTTAATTTTATTAAAACAATTATTTGATAGTTGTATGAAGATTGAACAGCTCACCTAAAACCTAACCTATGAACGAAAATGAATGGTATTAAATTCAATAATATCATACAACCAGTGGCATCATTTCGTTTTTCAATAGAGGGGGCAAAGGTTTTGACCAGCCCGATGAATGGGTAAAAAAAAACTGCTCACAACTACATATTATCTGCTTAAATTTGTTTATGGTACCCTTTTTATTAACAAGGTAACATAATTTTTAAATATAAGGTAGCAGACATTTAAAAAAAAACAATTGTATACATATATCAGTTAAATGTCTGCAAACTATTATACGGCTATATTTATATTGATAAACGAAAATATTAGTAGTTTATTAGGATATCTTCTTTTTTTTGAAAATATATCAACTGCATTATCTATAAATCAATTTTACCTGATTCCTCACTTATTGTCCATACTCTATTACTCTTATATTGGTATACAATATATTTACAAATTAATATTATCTTAAATAAAAATATATTTTTTTTTATTGCTTAGTTATCACCTCAAGTTTTATCTGTTTATTAAACATACCGGAAATTATTTTCGATTCTTGAGCAGTTTGCGTTAATTTAATATTTTTAGCCACACAACCCATTTATTTTTTGTCAACCCAGTCATATTTTTATCAAATTAAAAGATTAATGTAAACACGCGTCACGAAAAAAATACATTTTAATTTAGGTAGAATAAGGTACTCAACTTAAATATTAACACAATACCCAGAATAGTTGAATCATACACGACTGTTGTAAGTTAACTGAAGTCCGTGATCAATGATAATTAATAAAAGTTCCAATTGGTTGTTGTTTTTAGAGTTTGTATTAGGTAGTTTTAGATTTTAGAAATTAAACTATACTAGATTATGATACCTACTAATTATTATTATTATTTTTACACATTACAAAATTTTTATATCCCCCCCCTTGAAAAAATCCTAGATACGCTACTGATGGATGCGTTAAATTTCAATTCAATGATAAAATACAATCTTTGGATACGAAAAACGATTCTGAATGAAGACGATCTTTCAGCCTATATTACTAAGTATTTTTTATGATATTATTGCTATTATTTATTTAAGTATTTTATTTTACCATTATAGTCATTAGTAATGCTTTATTTGCCAAAAAAATTAATTTTAAAATGCCATTGTATGTATTGTGTAAACAATATACTTTAGAAATTTCAAGTAGGTACCCACGGATAATAATATTTTTAAATTACATAAAAAATACTAAAATTCTTCTATTAAAAAATATTTAATTTGCTCGAATTTGAACTTAGAAATAAGAATATCTTAGGGTAGACAATTCTAGTATAGAAAAAATAACTATACAAAATAAATTTTAAACGTAAGTATAATAATAATTTTCGTTGTTAACGCATTCATCTGGTTCACCCATTATAAAATTCGGGCTTAAAGAAAATTGATTTGGATATTATGTTGAAAGTTTCTAATTTTGTGTTTATATTAAATTGTATTAATTTAAGTATTCAGGCAATAATAAATGATTAAAGATAAATTTAAATATTATTAACATTAAACAAACGAAGACGTACTAAACAATTTTTTGAAGACTTAATAGATTATTTTGTTAGTACCTAACTATGCAACATTTATTGGGGACTAAATTCCCAGCGCCTCCACCACACACCGGTCGATGTTTATGCCAAATCCTATCCGGAGTAGTTGATTAGGTATACGACACGGTTGGAAGACATGTTTAGACTATACGAACTGGTCTTGAAAACATGGTTGTTGGACCGATAAAAATAACATTTTTTAAGTTGTAGATACTTTACAAGTCCCAGAAACGTATGACCAGAGTTCATAAACCAACCCAATCGAACACGATACAACAATGTTTAGAAGGTTTATTAAATTATTGAAATAGTGTTAATATTATAAAGTAGGTATAATATCACCCGAGTAACCCTGTTGTTTAGGGTTTAGTATACCTATTGAAGATCACAGGAGTAGAGGAGCAGGGCCGGATTTGACGGGGGGCATTAAGGGCATATGCCCCGGGCCCCCAAGTTTTAGGGGCCCCCGAGACTCAAATCAGAAATGAAAAAAAAAAAAATTAAAAAATTAAAAAAATAAAATTGCAACTTGGAACCCAAATTTTGGGTTCTCAAACTATATTTTTAAAAAAAATATAGTTTTGAAAATAAAAATGAATTAGGTATAAAATATAAATTAAATTGTACTACAGTACAGGGCCGGATTTAAACATTATGGGGTAATCAGTGTCGGATAAACCGCCGGTGCAAGCGGTGCATTGCACTGGGGCCTCGACTCTTTGAAATATTTGGGGTCCCCGATATTATGGATATCGAGTACTATAAAATAAAATTGGTACTTGGTAAAATGTATATTTTGTTTTTTCAAATTGTGTGTTTAATTAGTTTTACTTTGAAAGTCTATTTAATTTATTCCCATCAGTGGTGAATTATAATTGTGAATATTTGATTGATTAATTGGTATATTTTATTTTTCATACACATTATCGTGTTCGCCGATACACAATAACGTTAACATCTACGCCGTGTTGCATTACGCGAAGTGAGACTGAATCCAAAAATAGATGTATTGAACATTTTCTAATATATAGTATATTTTATAACATTTTTAAATTAGGGCCACCAACATTTTTTTTTGCACCGGGGCCCCAAGAGTTCAAGATCCGTCACTGGGGGTAATGACTGTAGTATACTACAGTTGTTGTTATTGCATTATCACGGTGACGTAAAGTTGCGGGTTATATAATTACATGTGCATGTTTATACGAGTATATATAAAAATCATAATGTAATCTGTCACAAATCACAATGTAAAATGTTGGAAAATTCAAGACGTCTATAATCGTTATCGGCTTATCGCTGTTTATAGCGTTTATGCCTTTATTGTGAATTATTTATTATTTTGTACATTCCACTTTTCGACTAAATCTCGTTACTTCATTATGATCAGCCAAGAATACTCATGAGTCTGTACTGTTCAATTGTTTAAGTAAGTAATATTTATAATAAATTTAAAATTAAATAATTTTAATAATCTATACGAAGTAGAAAA